CCCATCGCTATTTATAGTGTTGTCAATCAAATGTAAAATACAATGTGACAAATTAATACAGACACGCCGTATGTAATAGCCTGCGAATATAAACAAAAGGCATATCTCGATTTCAACGCATGATTGTTTACAACATTAAAAGCAATTGTCTTTCTTTCAAACAACCCTGAAATTCCCTGTAGTAGCAATATCGCAATCACTCGAGTTTAAACAACTACGGCGTACTAGAATGCTCAAAAATGCAAATTATAGTCGCCTTTGTCTTAGAGTAAAGATGCTATTGTTGATATAAGAACTAGCCTCCTCCGCAGGCCTCTCTATGGGTTCTAGCCTGCGAATGGGTTTGAAAAAAAAAATTTCGTCGGGTGAGATGCCTGCGGAGGAGGCTAAAAAACATCGTTTCCGTCTAGAATTTTTTTAAGAACTTTTGACTGCCCATCCTTTACTGTAACTTTAAAGATTTAGTTTTCTATACAACTCGTCGCTATAGAACGATATTTTTTATTTGAATCTATTGTTGTGTAAATTTAATTACCTTTTATGGCAGTATAATGTAGTTAATTCAATTTCAACCAATGGGAACCCTGCGTCGTTCTAAGCAACGCACAGACGCGTTTTTATTAGCTAGGCCTGCAGGCTCTCTCTCAAATTTCAAAGAGAGTTCAAAGAGAGCCTGTTCGCAGGCTACATTTCAAACAATTTTGTACGTTATATTTTATCTTCCTGGTGTTTAATATAAACGATGATAACCTTTTAAAAAACAGTTTTAGAATCAATAGAATGGGCATTCAATGTGTGTTTGGCTTGTGTCCAAATGTGCCACGTTTAAGACCGGCAAGGCGCTAATCCTACGACCTATAAACAGTCGATTTTGAGACACCTGTTTAACAAAATTTATACCGTGTCCATATCAGAACAATTCATTGGCATATTATAAGCATATTATAAATATCAGAGCCAGAACAGAAACGTTATGCGTGAAATTTAACTACGCCCGAACCGGCGAACCCCGAGAAAATAAAAATATTTCAAAGCGTACAGACGGTACAGTCATACGTTCTCGTTGCTTGATTTCCTGAATTTTCTGTTGCTATAAGAATCTGCATTTTAGCATGTTTGTATAATTTAAAAGCAGACAGAAACCAATTTAGCAAGTAGTTTGAGGTATATATGATTCTCGAAGATGAATTAGATGATTGACCAGAACGGCCACTCCTTGCAATCGAACTGCGAACTGCGGAAGTGGAAACATGTAATATGATACTTTTCCATACCCCTCTTGGGCTATCAATTTTCTATGGGTCACGTGACCAGCTCCGACCAGGGTCTTTGCTTCCCAAGAGCAAAGAGCCTGGGAACGAGGTTGTGATGATGCATAAAATATTAAACCATAAAGCACCGTCATGTTTCTTAGGTTTATTTAGATCAGAAACTGGTGCCAATTTTTATGATCTTCGTTCTTCAACAGAGAATGTCGAACTTCCACTAATTCGAACTGAATATTACAAGAGAAGTTTTGTTTACTCCGGCGCAAAAGTGTGGAACTCTCTTCCTGAAGTTTTGAAAAAAAAGAGTTCATTAAAGCGGTTCAAGGATCGATCTTTTAAAAAATATCCATTTTCCGCTGATCATTAATTAATTAAATTAATATATATTGCAAACTATAATATACGGCTAACAGGTACAACAAAACTGTATATGATTTTTATGTAAGCACCGTATTGAAATAAAATTTTTAATAATAATAATAATAATATATATATATATATATATATATATATATATATATATATATATATATATATATATATATATATATATATATATATATATATATATATATATATATATATATATATATATATATATATATATATATATATATATATTTATTTAATCTTAAAAATGGTATATGTTGCTACATATACCATTTTTAAGATTAAATAAATATTGCTCTACAAATTTTTGTATTGAGCACTCTTTAATCTACTGCAATAACAAAACTTTGTTATATATATATATATATATATATATATATATATATATATATATATATATATATATATATATATATATATATATATATATATATATATATATATATATATATATATATATATATATATATATGTGAAGGTTCCTTGTGGATGGAATTTCAACAGACATAAAATGTTGTTATATTTAATATCTAGACGTTTCGCTCATCAAGGCTTCTTCAGTAGATAAAACTTTACAGTAATATTACACACCCTATTTTTATACTGTACATCAATAATTAAAAATTCCTAGTATATTAATTCTCTAGAGTCTATAATTGTTCCTATTAAAATTTAATAAAAGTGCCTATTGAATTCCGTGGAGCCTAATGGTTCCCATTAAAAATTAACAATTCAAATTAAAATTAAAATCAAGGGTCCTAAATTGTTATTGTTCTCCCTATGCAACCGTTCATGATGTTATGCGATTTCTTTTGTATTTCGAATGCTTCAATGCATTTCCTTTCGTCGGCGAATTTGATATTTGAATGTAAGATTCTCCAAGTTATATCATTATGGTTCGGTGCATGTCCTGTTTCTTTATGTGATTCCAAGTGCTTATAGACTGTTTGTTTCTCCATTGTCAAATGTTCCTTAATGCGTGATCCTATTGTTCTGCCCGTTTCGCCAATATACAAGATTCCACAATGTGAGCAGGTGATTTCATAGACAGCATTCTTTCTTAAACATTGGTTAGATTTCTTACCAGATTTACACGTCTCACATTCTTCCATACAATTCAATTTCTGTTTAGGTGGAGCAAATTCCCTAGCTGATGGTGTACCATTGCTATACTGTAATCTGATGTTACTTATGCCAGATCGTCGTATACCACCTCTTGCGCCCGTCTTTTAAATTCTTCATCAATAAATGGCAATTTTAGATAGATATATCTCATCTCTTCATCTCTAGTCGAATTGGAGTTAGCAGATCTTCTTATAACGTTTCTTACAAATTTCCTAGGGTATTTGTTGTCAACAAACAATTTAGTAACTTTCCGGAGGGATTCTTGCCGTGAGGTGGGATCTGTTGAGCAAGCTATAGGTCGCTTAGTTTCTCCTATGAGAATAGCGCGTTTGGAAGCGATAGAACCATGGCTATCCCACGGTGTAATACAGAGACTGTGAATAGGCTTTATATAAAGAGCTGTTGAGAACTGTTTGATTTCCCTGTCAAAGGACATTCAACAACAAAAATATCATTGAACTATATGTACAAATTCAGACTCAAAAACCTAGACCATAAAATAATCTAATTCCATTACGCGCACCGTACACAAAATGCTAATAATTATGTTTAATATTTTAATGTAGGGGTGGAAGTACAAGAACAGATAATTCCTGACCGTAAAGAAATAAAAAAAAAATTCGTGGAAAGTGGAATTGTGGGAGTGCAGCGTATCATGAATGAAAAACTGGAGCGATGGAAAGAAGTTAATGTAAATCTCGCCATACTTGGAAATTCTGGTGTTGGTAAATCAAGTTTTATTAATGCTATAAGAGGGTAAGATTATTTATTTTTTATGGTTCGTAAGCCAAAGTCCGTAACTAAACTGGAGCGTTCTGATTGGGTGATATCGAGGATCGTAGCAGTCCATGATGAACCGGCCCAGCCCTCCGGTTTCGCGCCAAAACACGTTGGAGTGACAACAATTTTCAGACTTAAAAAAATACAAAAGAAGTTGCTAATACACACGCTAACGACACAGGTTAGAACAATAAGCTGAAATAACTTCAATAGAGTTCGTGTCGAGCCTGAAATGTACTATTCAAATACGAAAAAAACCCAAATATGTTGTCATGATGACAGAAACAAAAATACTTTTAAACGGCACTAAACATGATTTCTGGATTCAATTCAAGAAGAAAAACGTTTTCGAAATTCAGAAAACAAGATTTCTTCCTGCGTTCATTTTCGTTATTTGCTCACGGCTGCCGTGTTAAGGAGAGTTTGGGATATGGCACCTGAAGACCCCTGAAGGACAGTTGAAGGACGGATCGGCACGCGAAAGATATGTTCACAAATATAAATACTATTTAAAGTGGAATTTTGTATATGAGGAGTCTATTGTAAATGTTGTAAAAAAGTAATTAATGCATAAAAACTAATTCGGCAATAAAAGATTTGCGTTGCTGGAAATGAAGAGTCGTCATGAGCCGGGCAAGGAGAAAATTCTACTTGACGTGACCGATTTTCAGTGACCGATTAAATCCAGTTCTATACTCATTGTACTTACTTGGCCTAGATTATTTTATCTTTACAACAATCGTGATATTACTTTCTTACCTGTGTTTATCCAAACCCACCCTGTCAACTTGCCCTGTGGGAAGAAACCGGAGTGCCGGGAGAAAACTAACGACTTTCGGCAGAGCCTTGACTGACTCTTTTCATATGAGTCATGCATGCTCTGACGACTGCGGCATCGAAGCCCCATCTATATACGTAGCAAAGTGTGTGCACAGCGTACAACGCTGAAACATGTCACACAATGCCAGGGGCGTAGGAAGCTTAGAAAAGTTTGGGGGGGGGGCAGGCTTTGAGGGGCACTTTCAAAAAAAAAAGGGCATCTCAAAAAAAATTTTTGGCGACCTCCCCCCCTGTCGCCAAAAAAATTTCGGTGTACTATTTTAGGGCTAAAAAAGTTTTCCGGACATACCATATTTTTCCTTAAATACTAAAAAAATTTTCCGGAAAAACAAATATATAATATTTTTCTCGGAAACTAAAACATTTTTTCGGGAAAAAACCTAGATTACAGTTTTCAAATGTTTCGTTTAGACAAAAACTGCGAATTTTATGAACATTTTTCATGCACGAAAAGGGCACTTTGCTCCTGGAAAAAGGGCACTTGCCAAAACTTGGGGGGGGGGGGGCATGGCCCCCCCCCCTGGTCCTCCCGTTCCTACGCCCCTGCACAATGCCCTTGCAATGGCCTTGTAAATTTTTAATTTTATTTACATGCAGATTGCATGATGATCACGAGCTCGCAGCGGAAACAGGTATAACGGAAACAACAAAAATACCAACTCCCTACCAGCATCCAACCAATGCAAAGATCCGTTTCTGGGACCTACCCGGCATCGGAACGCCAGATTATCCCGATCTTCCAACATTCTCTGAAAAAGTTGGCATAGAAAGATTCGATACCTTTTTGATAATCTGCGCAAGGAGATTCACAGAATATGATCTACAGTTAGCAGAGAAAGTTCAATCGATGGGCAAGTCTTTTTTCTTCGTTCGCAACAAGATCGATAACGATAGGCGATCTGAGAAGCGAAAGTACGGGAGAAAATTCAACGAAGAAAAGATGCTGAAAGAGATCAAGAATGACTGTGTTGAATGTTTGGAAAATCTCAGCTGCGACGAAGAGAAAGTCTTCCTGGTTAGTAGTCATGCTCCAAATGAGTGGGATTTTGATCGTTTACAGACAGCAATTATGGATCATTTGCCATTCATCCAGAAAGAGTCCTTAGCCCTTTCCCTGCGCACTCACTCAAAAGTTATTTTGAAAGAAAAGATTAAAATACTCAAAGGTATGTGTAATAATCACATTGGTGATTCCTGTTAAGAGGCCGTCTCCGTAAGAACCGACCACTGATTTTTTTTTCGAAAATCAACCTTGCCTCTAACTTTTCTTATTTATTAGACTTAAGGTGGCTCGATATAGTTATCACGAAAACCCTGCTCAAGAATCGCGAACTCAAAACCGTGTGACCATTTTTACGCGCAGGTCGCGGAAACTGATTAACAAAATGAAAGAACTTCCAAAATGACCTGACGTAACCAGTTGCTCGCGCCATCTCACGCCATTGCGCGTGTTCTATAGCATTTTATGTCAATTGCTGACGTCATTAGAATTTTCCATTTTAGAAAAACAATGCGTTATATCTCTTTATTTTGTCTGATGACCTGCATGCTGTATTGCACTGCTAAAAACTTTCATTATACAAAAAATAAAAAATTCTGTAATGCCAAAAAAATTTTACCGAAGAATATGACATTTTCGCATTTTCCAAAAAAATGGCATTACAGAATTTTTTTATATTTTGCTAATTGTTAGCTTTTCGTCCAAGTAAAATAATGCACGAAAAAAAATTGGGGGTCACCATGCTTCTTTTCCAACTACACGAGACGAAAGGCCATTTTGGAGTGTATTTTGTACACGTATGTCGTAATAGAAACGAACTATCTGTTACTAAAACTAATATAATTTGAAAGTGGAGATATCGAAATATATAAAAAATCCAATATCTGCTAAATATATTCTAAAAATGCGTAGTTTGAACATTTCAAAGTTTTGAACACCTGAATTTTTGAAAACTGTATCGAGCCACCTTAACAAGCATACTACAAAATCACATTCAGAATTTTTTATCTCACGTTATTTCCCGAGATTTTTAAACTTTTGTTCCTTAGCTAGGGCTATAATTGGGATCTCAACGCTTTGGCTAACGTAAAAATAGGTACGCGACGCGTACATGTATCTGCGAAAAAACTTGATTCACATTTTCATCACTTATTATAATAAATATAATAGGAAATAAGATTTTAAAGTCAAACATAGTACAAATCTAACAAGGCTGTAGACAGCACAGAGGGCAGCAGGGGCAACTCCCCCCCCCCGCAAAACTACTAATTTTATGTGATTATAACTGTAACTCGGATGCAGTCAAAAAATAAAAATTTCATGCAAACAATATTCGCAGTGTCTATTTAGTAAACTGTCACTTGTCAATCCATACCCATTTTGAAAACTTTATTGTAATCATATCAAGCAAAAGTTCTGTCACTTGTTGTTCACACTTGCCAACGTTAACTGTTGAGTAACATACACAAACTATTCGAGGAACATGCATTAATACTGTAGCAAAGAGTCCATCATATATCGAAGACCACTGAATAGTAGAGAATGTTTTAAAGGTCACGAATGAAGTATATAATTAAATTCCAATCCTGTGCACAGTTAATGATATACCACACTGTTTGGTTTAACACAACATATCCACACAAAAACAATTTGTGTTGTGGGAGAATATCGGTTTGAGTAGAAGGTATCACATGTTCAGTTTTGTACATTGTGTGCCATTGATCTGACCATCCATATAATATATGATTATTGTAGCTGTTAAGTAATTACAGTATCCATACCATTGATACTTATGAATTTAGGTAAGGTTGTCTTGCAAGTGGGTTGTTCTGACAAAATTATCTAGCCAATATCCAGTACATTTATTCATCATTCTTGCATTAATCTCTAGGCAAAAACATTTATGTTAGAAAGCAAAATAACAATGCAATATTAAAGGAGGGAGGGTGGGGATTCTTTTATATTAGCATTTATTTTGAAAATGTTTGTAAAAATTTTGTTTTATTATAAACTCTATTAAATGTGTAAAACCAAAATGTATTAAATATTGTAAACTGATACTGTAACATCATTTAACCTCCAACACTACATTTGATGACAGCTCAGTTGGACTGTTGTTTTGAATAGAGTTTATACAGAAATACACGACCAGGATTTAATTCAATATCTCCCGAGGCCATTAGTTTCCTTTGGTATTCTTCATTGGCAATATTGCCTGCTATGTTTTGACTGTTTAAAATATTAGACAAGTCACAGAAGGATTGTTTTAATACTGTATAAATCTTTTTGTGAACTATGTTCACAAATGGCTTAAAATATCCTCGAAAATATCCAATATTTTATACAGTGTAATATTAATAAAAAAATTCCAGAGTGCATTTCATGTACACAGTCTCTACGCCGAAGAATCGAAGATACGGCAATATTAACTATAGATAGTACTGTATAGTAATTTGCCGAACTCATGTATTAAATATGTGGGATATATATTTGCACAAATTTGGTATTTAAATCTATAATATATAACAGGTGGGAAATTTGTCGTCGCTGACCAAAAAATTGCGGGCAGAAACAAAGCTCATTGCATTTACATTCAAAACAAAGCAGAAAGTTAGCGAGAAGCTGTTTTAGCTGACGATTTTTGCTTTCCATTCAACGATTTACAAATTATTGGTTATTATTTTAAAAGTCGATCATGAATTCTTTGTTTTGTGATGATTGTTTTGTAATCGCGTGATTGGAAGAAGTTAATATGGCGACGTGAACATGGGAGTAAATACCGTATACGTTGATCTATGGCTTGTTTAAAACCGTAATAAACGAAGAAAGACGTGATTTGAGAATGAAATGTAAGTTGAAATTAACTTTATATGCCTCAAATTTTCCATCCTATGTTTCTTAATGTAACTTCAGCTGTCTAAGTTCAAAATACAAGCTCGCGAAATTTGACAAATTTTGAAAATATGTAAAAATAGCTTGACTTTGAACTGTATTTTCTCAAAAATAGCCCTTGGCCTCAATCTCAAATATAGCTAAATGAAAAGAAAAAACTTTTCGGCGTTTGTAGGTATCAAACATATGGTCAGGAAAATAGGGGCTCACAATGTTTTAGTTCAGTCTTTGAGACCCAGTTGCTTCGCACGTGTTGTGGTCAAATTTTTGCCAAGAATCAAAGGCCGAAATGTGAACTTCCTTCATGAAAACCGCTTCGAGAAGGGTCTAGTTTGAAAATTTAGCTATTAATTTCGATTTCATGAGCGTATTTTGGTTACACGTTAAGTATTTTTGTGCTTGATGAGATTCAAAATTTGTTGTATATTCAAGCCCGGCTTTTGTGTAATTTTGGTGATGACCGGAACAGAAATAAAGATATTTTAAAAACTGGCCGTGGCCTCACGATAGAACTTTCTACAAATGTTCTCTTTTTCATGTACTTTTATTTGATATCTTAGGTATAAGCGTAAAAATAGGGGCTCATACAGTTTGAGAGGTTGTAAAATGCATGACCTCTATTTTCATGTAAACATTCGAAATTCTTCGACAGCAAAGTAGCAACTGTTTCAGATCGAACACGGACAGCCCACCAGAGACAATGGCAGGGTACTGAAATAGAACGTCACTAAAAAATTCTGTATGATTAATTTAGATCATGTCCACTCTTTCAACATAAAACAGTCATTTATTATGTACAAACATTTGGCAATATTTACACGATTGTGCCTTTTTGTAAACACGCGTTGCGTGTATTCCACGCAATTGCGTGGCTCATTTTACTCGCGCATGCTCAGACAAATTTCCCACCTGTTCTCTTCAATTCGAAATAAAAACTACAAATTTACCTGACGAAATAAAATATACGTTGTTCTAAGTCTTGTTAAGATATAAGTTGTCCTATAACACTAGCATTTTACATTTTCTTGCTTCGAAAATTTAAGTAATAATGTCTTACTATTTTATAATTTTGTATTTTAAGAATTTCATTTCTTGTCTTACGAACATATTCTTAAAGTAAGAAAATCGTATTTTCTTATTTTAAGAAGATGTTTTCTTATTAAGAAAGTAAGAAAATCGTATTTTCTTATTTTAAGAAAAAGATATCTTGGGATTCAAAATTTCTTATTTCAAGAAAAATTTTTCTTACTAAGAAAATTATTTTCTTATTTTAAGTTTTTTTTCCTTAATTAATTAAATTTTGCTGTGTAACTATTTCCCGAGGGAAAAGACGTTAAGTGTTTGTTATATAGCGACGAAACAAATATCAACATTGAAAAACATTCATACAACAATATTTGTATTTCATGACAAAAACTCTATCTAGCGTAAACGAGTTTAAAATTTAAAAAACCTACTTAAATGGTTTCAAGAGCATATCCTGTTGCCTGTTATGTATTTTTCTTCTCTTTTACATTCTTTATTTTAACACAAAGCCACGAAAACAGTAGTTTAAATATCGTTAAATGTTAAACGTTCAAAACCTTCGAGATTTTGACTTGATAAACAAATAACTAGACACTTGTGAAACTAATGTTCTCAAAGTTTGCAACGTAGACTGAGTTCGCTAAATGTTTGGTCTAATTGGTCATGCAAGATACACTTTGTCTGGGCAAAATGTGTCTAGTGCCGTGTGTATATAGCCTAAATGAGGTGTAAATCTGGACAGAGCATAGATAACTCAATGCGCAGTTTTCAAAAGTATTCCCTCGCATTTGAATTCGATAGATAAGTTAAATGTCCCACAATATTTAGAATAAACATGCCGTGCCTAAGTCAGCTAACTTTTGCCGTACATCAAATTTTGCCTTGCCGTGCCTGCCATTAATTACAAAATAAGTTAAGGTAACAAATTATCCGCTGAATTGTTGCAAGGTTAATGCAATTTCATCACGCTTAGTCATGGCTTCATAACTGCATGCTTGTGCTAAAAACAAATTTTCATGTCTTTGTTTTTACGGTTCACGATTTTCTATCGGACTATGAATATTATATGACAGCCAGATAGCAATATTACTCCACTACGCTTTGAGAAACTAAGCCAGCGTGTTAAATTTAGTCAACTTAACGCTTATAATTAATTGTTATAATTAGTCGTTCACATTCTTGAGAAGCTTTAGACTATTGTGATTGTGTTCACAACAATAGACAAGACAATGTCTTCTTACCAATGGGCAAGTATACAATAATTGAACTTTGACACTTGCTAT